AAAAAACCCTGCCGTCACACACAGGACATCTGGGCTAATTTTAAAAAGTAGAGTTGCAAATAATACAAATTGAAGTAAAATGGATGCTAAATTGTAGAGCTATCCTGTGGTCCAGCAATGAGAGAGAAAAATTTCCGCCCAGGTCTAAAAACCACCATCTCTTAATGCTGGCTTCCTGCTGTCTTCACTGTCTGACTTTTTCCCTTGAGCTTGTCCTCTGTATCCACTCATTCCTTGTTAATAGCTTGTGGCTGTTAAGATAAAATAGAACCAGCTAGCTCATGGAATTGCTGAAAGTATTTTAGGTAACAAAATTGCCAACGCCAGGCATTCAAAAGTTATCAGACTGGCTTGAAAATAATGAGATTTTTTAAAACAAAACAAAAGTTCTTTGTTTCTTTCTGTTTTGGGGGTTATTAGCATTCAATATTTGCAAACTTTTCTAGGCAATGATGAGGGAAAAAAAAACTTTCTTTAAAAAAACAAAATATTATTTTCACCCTATCCCTACAGGCTGTGAGTTGGGGATGAGATGGTAGGGGGGAAACAATGATATGGTACAATGCAGGCATGGAAACTATAGGTCAAAATGCCAGCTGAAATAAATCAGTATAACTTCATTAACTTAGGTGGATCTTCATCAGTTAAGAATCTGGCCCTATCAGTTAATTTTGCAGCTGTGGTTGTGTTCCTAAACTGTGAACTGTGGTCTGTGGATAACAAACTATTTATGTGCATTGCTTTTGCATATCTGTTTTAATGTTATCTATAGTTATGGTATTTTTCAATTGAAATGACCTGCTCATTCATTTTGCAAGTTAGCATTAAAAAACCCTGCCTCTTGTGTTGCAGTTGAGTTTGCATAAATCACAAAAGACCCTTTTTCTATCCATAAGCTCATGCTTCAGCAACAGGATGGATTTAGTTCATTCTAAATGCATCACTCTATTCCCTCATAACTTAAATGCTGACTGCTTCATGCCACCTTTTGCTTATCTGCACCTTCATTGCCTAAATAAATAGTGTGCATTCCTGAATCTCTTGAAGTTGCTGTCAGAGTTAATTGTGGGGACTTCATATTGAAAAGAAGGTTCTTTTAGACGATACAATTCCTCTACTTTTTAAAAATACAGTGCTCACTGTAGAGAAGTCAGTAATTAGGTAAGTAATACTGTGGACTAAAAAGCTGAGGGGGGAGTGCACATGCACTGAACCCTTGGAAATTGTTTCCATTTATAAGGAATTACCTGTTTTAGAACTAAATTATTTCAGAGACAGGAACAGAGCTTCTTGGCCCAAGAGCTGATATTCTACTTGGAGGAGTGGGGGGTCTGTTGACTCCCCTGGAAATTGTTAACTCCTTCTACATTTCCCATTTTTAAAAAAGGACTTCATGAGTTAAGAATCACAGCTAGACTGTATTGTACTGTTATGCAGTCCTATCTCACAAGCCAAATGGCAGTTAATTGACCAAGGGTGAAGTTATGCATTACCCTTAGACCATGCTAACGGCACTTCAAATGTGAGTATCTGCACCTGAAAGCTCATTAACTCATGCTAAGTGCCCTCTGAATGTCTCAAAGTTATGCCACTTTAGATGAGTGTTATCTCTAGATCATGCTAAAGTAATTTCAGTCTGCTCCACAGAGATTTAAAAAAAAACAACACTTTTTTGAAATTCTACAGCATCCCATGATGCACATCTCTTAGCCCATGTACCCCCACCCAGACCAGGGACAGAGCTTGGTGTTCTGGCTCCTAGCCATGCCCTTGCTCACCAGCCTTCTAGTGGAAAGTCGGGGGTGTGCAGGCAAGAAACAGTATTAACCCTTAACATGTGATTAATAACATTTTAGCATGGTCTAACTTTAACACTGCTTAACAGTACACATATTATATATGGTCTAAGTATAGCATGTAGCTTCACCCTATTAGTTTTTATATTTGTTAGGAATCAGCAGAGCAGAGGCTTGACCCTACATCTTTTATCAGAGAGAAATACTCTAACCATTGGCTTATTGCTTGCCTGTAAAAGATTTACATTTGTATGCATCTTGGGCTTTTTGGAGGTATTCAGGAAAGGGGGAGTACAAGAAAGTTGGTTCATGGTTTTGTTTCAGTGTAAAAGATCTAAAAATATCTCCAAAACTAAAAATATTTTTGCAAGCAGAATTACTGCTTTCCAGCCAGCCTTAGGGTTGATCTTCCTCACACTAGCTAGGGTCTGTGTTTCTATTCTGAGAATAGAAGAATTAGTACCTTTTTCAAAATCAGCATCATCTAGACACAAATTGGAGGATAGGACCAAAAAAAATCTCATGAAGTTCAATAAGGACAAGTGCAAATTTCTGCATTTAGGACAGAACAATCCCATGTACCGGTACAGGCTGGGAACTGACTGGCTAAGCAGCAGCTCTGCAGAAAGGACCTGACAGGGTTACTGTGGACAATAAGCTGAATATGAACCAATAGTGTGCCCTTGTTATGAAGAAAACTAACAGCATACTGAGCTACATTAGTAGGAGAGTTGCTGGCAGATTGGGGGAAGTGATTCCTCCCCTCTATTCAGCACCAGTGAGGCCACGTCGGGAGTACTGGGTCTAGTTTTGGACCTCCCACTACAGGAAGGGTGGGTACAAATTGGAGAGAGTCCAGTGGAGGGCAACAACCCTAATTTTCTATGATTTAAGGATTATTTGATTGCCTTCTTAAGGAGCTACCCATCTTCAGGGGTATCTGGAAGCAGTGGTGTTGAGTGGGTTAACAATCAAGAGACCTAGAACCACAAAGAGTTCAGGAAGAGCACATGCCAACTACAAATGCTTCCTCAGCCGGAGGAAGGGTATTTAAACTCAAAAGATTGCTAAGAAGAATTTTCCCAGCTATTTGATTTGGTCTAATAAAAGATATCAGATTCACCCAAGGAACCTTTTCTGTCTAGAATCACAAAAGTTTTAAGATGTGTCTCTGTAGTTACAGTTTTTTATTGATTAGCTCTAGGTGTAGACAACTCAATATGCATTTATTTTGCTCTACTGGGATCCTAAGGCACTCCATGAGCTATAGAGGGAGCCTGGCTACTTAACTCTGAGTTTAAAGCAATGTCCCTTGGTCTTACTTCCTTGAAAAGCACTGTTCAGTTGCTAACTACTCGTTCTCTGTTGCAGCTCTTCTTCCTGATTCATTTTTGAGCAAAAATGGGCATGACTGGTGTGTTTTGTGCTGAACGCTAGTGCTGTCAATGGTGTTTAGGCATGCATTGAGCAAACCTAGTAGATTGCATCCTTCTGAGGTCTTCTGTGTCTTGCCATGGATCCCACTGGGACTTAGGTAGGAAATGGTCACCAGCTGCTTTGACCTGGAAATGCACCATAAGCAGTTCTGCAGACACCCAGAGAATCACCAGGCATCTAGGGATCTGGGGATTTCATCTTTGTCTAAAAATCATCTTTTTACAAGTTTTATGAGTGTGGTGGAAGGATATTTGGGAATTTGTTGAATGAAACCTAGAAGCCTAGTAAACTTTTTTTTTTTTGATGACATGGCCAAATTCTAGTGGCAATGAAGTCAGTTTGTAAATCATTTGTCCTGTAGGTTGGCATGCCTTATGTAAGTGCTACAACAGCTTATATTTTAAGTGATATGGTGATATGTAATGAAGAGAAATAGAAGATAATTGGTTTGTTCCTAACTCACTGGGTCAGCTTAATCCTTGTTGTAAATTGAGATAATGGATATCTCAGAGGGATATCTACACAGAAAACTCACTATGACAGCAGGGGTGCCTTCAAACATGCTGCATTGCTCTGCAGGAGATGCCTTCTAAACTGGAAGCAGTGGAGACACATTCTCATGGTTCTTCAGGTGGGCTAATTAGCAATGTTGAATGACGGCACTAATTAGTACCCTCTATGCCAATTAACCGTGTTACATTGATGTAGCTACTTTGTTTCTGCCTTGGTGAGACAGATTAGTGTGGCGTGTTTGAGAGCACTGCTGCCCGGCAAGGTTCTCTCTATACTGCAAGCTTACCTAAGTCAGTAGGTTTAAAATGGCTGAGCACAGTCATTATTCTGCAGTGCATCTGCAAATCCATTCACAGCATCTAACAAAGTAGGCTGTTCCTATGAAAGCTCATGTGTCTCTGAATGAGTTAGTCAGTATATAAGGTGTTTTCTGCGATTCAAGCTAGAGTATAGTATTTATGAAAGGAAGCCAAGTACTAGAGTGTCATGTTTCCAGACATGTTCATAGTTTAGGACTTGTATTGTATTCTGTTTAAACCTGTTCATCATAGTGACTAGGTAGAGGATAGCTAAAAATGAAATCTGGTTCTAAGATTACCAGACTGAATCTGAATTGCTACATATTACCCAGTCCTGTAACTTCTCATGGGGGAGGGGGAAGAAGAGGGGCATTAAAACCCATTAATATCAAAATAGAAGGATTTTATTGACTTTTCTTTCATCAACCTTTTTGAGGATTAAAGCTTCAGTATTTCTTCTGACTTTCCAAAGTTAAAAGAAACATATTCCACAAACCCAGACATGCCTATCCTATCAACTAAGGATTTGCACATCCTTATGCAGAAGGGGTATTATAGAGGACATGAGTAATCTCTGGCTTGCAGGTAGTGATATAAAACAATCTGATTTCTTAATATTCTGTTGTCTGCTAAGTTTTTAAATGTGTTAGTAATTTTATGCCCTGCTTTGGTTTAAATCAGCGCTTCCCAAACTCTGACACATTGTGTGCCACCAATTTAAAATGATGCAACCTTAAGTACCACCAGCAAATGCTCCAGTTCATCCTTAAGTCCCACCAGCAAATTTTTGTCATATAAAGTAATTATAATAAATCTGTTAACACATAGCACTGAGGTACCCATGCCACGGATTGGGAACCACTGATTTAAATAATTATTACATTTCTCGGATCAGTTTAAATCATTCTGTTTTTAGCTCTGATTCTGACACAGCTGGTTTCTCTGTCCTTTCCAGTAACAAAGACAGTGTGTGCAGAGCAATGTGATGGACGATGCTACGGGCCTTATGTCAGTGACTGTTGCCATCGGGAATGTGCTGGAGGTTGTTCTGGACCTAAAGACACTGATTGCTTTGTAAGTTTGGGAGTTTTCTCATTTCCCTCATTGCACCATCTGCAGTGCAAGTTCTTTTGCTTTAATCCATGGAACTCATGACTTTTGTCAACTTTAATGTACTGCATGTAGTTTTGTAGATTTTAGATGCAAATTTTATCATTTTGTATTTTTCCATTTAATTTACATTACGTATCAATTTACATTACCCATTAAAAGACTTGTGAGATTTACAAATACAGATTGGGAACTATTTATATGCTAATCTGTGTGATTTTTATCTTTTACTTGTCTAAAATTAACTTTTATAGAAGGTAGGGAATTTATAGGAATTTGCCATCACAATTTAGGGTTTCTTAATTCTGCTTTGTATGCTTTTTTTGAAAGTTAAGAATACAGATTAGCTTCTGTGATAAAGGTGTTTCCCAAACTTTAGTCAAAAAACTCAACCATTCATCTATGGTGTGCTTTGCAGAAGTGATATAAAGAAAGTAGTTTCCAATCTGCTTAACCTCCTATGCACACAATACATCTTTTTTAAACGGAAAGTTCTTAAAACAAATTAGGAGAGTTTAACTTTTCAAAACAGACAATCTAAACATATAGGCCATTGAACAAATTCATCCCATTTTCAGTCAACTGTTTTTTATAAATGAGAAAGCAGCCTTTGCCCCTAATAATGAACATACTACCCAGACAGGTGCAAATGCTGAGTACATATTTAAGTTTGTGCCAGTCATTTCAAGGTATGTTCTGAATGAGCCTAGACAATTCTTCAAGGACAGAGGGAGGCACTTTCATTGAATTGGGAGCTGAAATTTTTGAGGCTCCTTCAAAAATCTGTTATGTAACATAAGGAAAATCTATTAGTAGATTTTTGGCATGCACAATCTTGTATGTTTTGTATTATAACAAAATAGATAGTAACGAGCTGTTATGAAGGTATGAATCAGAACTGTTATCCATGTGTCACTGGCATGCAAGTCTCTGAGTAGTAGGTGCCTGTGCTTCTGTAGCCTACCTAAAAGCTCCATCCTGATGCTACTCTGTGGATTCAAGTAGTTTGGGAATGCAGCATAGTGACAGCCATGACTAGTTAATGAAGCAGGCAACAGTGATTAGTGCTTCATTGAACCTTGATGAAAGATATATACTCAGTGCATACAGACATTCAGGGAGGTTAAGGATAGGTTATACTGAGTTATGTAATGGGCATCCAATCTAAGGTAAATTGGGATGATGAGGCTAGTTGTGAGGAGTCAAGAGAACAGGGGCAAGTGGAGTCCATGGAGGATTGATGGTATTGGAGGGGCAAGTGGACTTTGTGGGGAGGATCAGGGGAGCAAGAGGGGTCCATGGGGGTCTTTGGGGGGATCAAGAAGTTAGTGGGGTCCATGGGAGGGGTTGGTGGGGTCCAGGAGGGTTTAAGGAAATTAGAAGGGCTAGCAGTGTCAGTGGGGGAGGGTTGGGGGACAATGGGGGGTGCTCTCTTTCCCAGCCCCTGGGACCAGGGATTATTTTTATCTCCCTAGCTCCCCCGCTCAGCCCTAGATGAACAACAACCCACCAGTCCTGCCTGCCACTCTCCCCACCCTGTCTTACTTCCTCAGCTGCCAGCACTGGCAAACACTGGTAAAACCAGCACCAAAAGTGGCTTGTAAGATAAGGGGTTTGGTGGGCCTGTGAGGGGGTAGGAAAAATGCAGCCCTGGGGCTGGCATGGTGCTGGGAACTGTACAGAAGTTCAGCTAAGTCAGTCTTGCTGAACCCATTGCAGGACCCCATCTAAATTAGACTACCTCTGAGGTACAGTTAACTTAGATTGGGTTGGCCATTTTTAGATCAGTCTAACCTTCCTGACCTTCTGTACAGTTCACACTTAGCTAGACCTAACCAGGGATCTAAGTGTAGGGTTTGTACCTGGGTGAACTAAGTTAAATTGGGTGGCCATTTTTAACATTATCTAACCTCCCTCTAACATCTCCAAACATCTGTCTGTACACATAGTGGGCCTAATTCAAAGTTAAATAGAATGCAACAGTCGCTGCTCCCAAAGATTTTATGAAATAGAGCCCAGGATAAAGGAAGTATTACTATATCCCCATTTCACATACGGAGCAACTTGCTCAAGTTCCTGTCAAATATCTGTGGTTCTGCCCATGGACTGACCCCAAATCATTTGAATCTTTATCTGTTGCATTGTGCTCAAAGCTATCTTCCCTGAAATCTTCAAAGGCCCTAGCAGTATTGTACTAGTATCATTAGCACCACAACACCATGAAGAAAATATAATTTCTATTAGGTATTGAATACTTCACATTTTTCTGCAGCATCATTGTAGCAATTATGAAAATGTCTTTGCTAAAAATCATGTTGGCATGTTTGTGCTGATCCAATGCAAAAACGCCTAAGGGCTGATTCTGATTTAAACAAAGTCCCTAGAGTAATGTAAAGGGTAAATCAAAACCTTTTCATTCTGATTAGTTTCCTTTCATGTACTGGGCAAGAAGTAACACTTTAGGCTGCAGTGGAGGGCAGATACAGACACCAGATTGTGGTTTTGTTAAAACTACTGCTATTTACTTTTAACTAACTTGAATGCCTTAATTTTTCTATGCATGCTGCTTTGCTTTCATATGCATATAGGTGCATTTAGAAACAATCACTGTAAGTTTTGCATATGTTAGCGAAACAATTATAAATGTACACAAAGTTTTACAGTCATAAATTAAAACTTCCTGAGTCTTCTAGATTGGATTTTAATAGATTCTTCTTGGAAGGTGTCATTTCCTTGAGTAATGTTTCATTGGTATGCCTCATTCTGATTATGCATTTACTAAGCCATCATCAGAGGATTGTCATGTTTATGATAAAGTACTTGCTAAGACAACAGTGGATATAGAAAATGTGTTGAGGAAGCAAAGTAAATTAGTATTTATTAATAAACAAAACTATAGTTTATGATGCATTAAGAAATCCTTTGGCATATTATGGCGGCTTCTGAAAGCTTGTAATATCACTGTGTTGTAAATATGTGTTTAATTTTGCCAGATTAAGTTAACTCATCCTCCTCTGCACACAATTTGAACACAAGATAATATGCATCTCCTGACATGACTGTTTCATCATAATTACTTGCAAGGTTTTGATGATGCTCTCAGGTCTGGGGTTGAAATAAGTTTGTGAAATACAGCTTTTCTTTTAGGGCCTGATCCAAAGTGAATAAAGTTAGTGTCAAGACTCTTACTGATATCAGTGGACTTTGGATCAAAACTCTACTTAGGGACTACAGACATGTGTATATCACAGTAGCTCCAAGCACACCTATACATGATCCAAGGCCAGAAATACACTAATAAAGATGCTCCCAGGCAACTCTCAGAAGCTGCTGTCAAGTACACTGAAAACCAAAGCCTCAAGAGTGGCTACAAGAGACTTGCCCACCCCCACAAGCGTCTTCACCAACATGTTTCTGGGTTCGGAGAGTGTCAGCAAGAGCAGGTGGGTGGGCATGCTTGGGAACGGCCGGACCAGAGTGTATTGTACCTTCTAGAAGTCGAGTTAGATGGTGTTGGGGATTTACAATGGTATAACATATATCAATTTGTACACTTCACATTAGTGTCCAGAGAAGATGGACAGTCATCTCTCTAGAGGTAGCTACCCTCAATAGGTGATATTACCGTGCCTTGTAAGCAGATATCAAGAGATGAATTGAACAGGTAGCTGCTATTCAAGCCTGAAATTGCCCAGAGTTATGGACATGTGACTATACACCAGCATGCAGTTATTCCTGACTTTCAAAGAGACAACTTTACTTTAGATTGGAGTGCCTTACATCAGTGTAAAGCTGTATGTTGTGTGTCTGTTCTATATTTATACTAGTGAAAAGGCACATTAGACTGGTATAAATAAATTGTGTTTTCCATGGGGAAACATCATCCTGTACCTATGATTGCTAAAGATGCGGACAAGAGCAGATCGGGAATGTGCTGGAGTAGCTCAAATTGTTTTCTATGCAGAAACATTTTATTGAAAATTGAGACTACCCAGGATTTTCCTGACTCAGACAATTTGCTCTCAAAGTTTGTTCCCAAATTGTAGTTAGTATAATAGACAGGACACTAGATTATAAAAAAAATGCAGAAATCAGTGTTTTCTTGAATGGCAATGGCCAGCCAGAAGAGTCAATTATTTTACTTACATTCTTCTACCCTTTTTACCTATCTACTTGAATCTTTATCTGTCAGTGCCTTGTCCTCTGCCCAGAGTATGTGGTTGAGTTGAGATGTTGAGAGATACAAAATGCTATTTTCTCTTCTCAGTGTGTGAAGCAACTGACCTTGTTAAATTTGTTACTTAGGGAAATGACCCCCTCCTGTGCTAGCTTAAAGAAAAAATTGTATCCCTATTGCTGTCTAATTGGGAGTTTTAGTCCTCTACTGGACTTCGGATTCCTGCCATAAGAGATCAGAAGGTTGGCCTGCTAAAGCACAGATCATTAGTGCATGTTCAGCCGGACATGAGCAGCTTAAATAGCAGTTCACTGTTGGCAAATTTGGAACTGCCTGTCAAGTGTGCAATTAATTTGTTGCTAATAGTGAGAATAATAGTGAAAAAATGTTTCCTTTTATAAAATGTATTTAGATTGTTGCATTTCCGAAGTGATGTTTTAGGGGCTCAAAATGTGTTTTAGAACAAATCCAGGTTTTGTTAAGATCTTAAGAAGAAACCTAAGTGGAAAAACAAAGCTTAAAAACCATGTCCCCACGCCTAATTGCCACAACAGTACCTCTGTAGTTAGTGAATAGACTGGGTGCTGGTCTAAAGTAAGTAAATCGAGAAAGCACCACATGCTCAGTTTGATTTCTTATATTTCAGGCTTGCATGAATTTCAATGACAGTGGAGCGTGTGTCACTCAGTGCCCCCAGACTTTTGTCTACAATCCCACCACCTTCCAGCTGGAGCACAATCATAATGCCAAGTATACCTATGGAGCTTTTTGTGTCAAAAAATGTCCACGTAAGTTACCTGATGCCTGCTTTGTTCCCCAATATCAGTGAAGTGCATGGTGTGCAACTCCTTGTGAACAAAACCCTTTTTTTAGAGACTATTATGAAGTAATGTTATGGTTGGAGCTGAATGAATAGCCTGATAAGTCTAATCATTCCAACTCTGCTGTTTAGCAGTAACAGTTTGAAGTTATGTGTTAATCAAGCAGAATGACATTTTTAGAAGCTGACATTTTGCAGATGCCCAATAATATAGCCAGCATTAAAAAAAACCCCATAAAACTCCCACAAGACAAAAAAAAGCTGTGATTTCACTAGTTTTCAGACTTTGTCTAGCACTCAAATATTTTTGGTTTTATTCAGTCTCCGTAATCTTAGAAAGTATTCTTTGAGTAATTCAGAAGGCTATTCTAAATTAAAATGGTTATGTAGAGGTAGGATTTCAGTTTTAGTAAATGACTTGTTTATACAAATTATGTGTATGGCAGACCTTATTTACTGAGGAGGAAAATTTTCTTCCCCAAACCTGATGCTGTCTAGCTAGTTCTTATCCTTCTTCTTCCTACTTCAGAAGTGAGCTGACTTGCTAGCCTTGCATCCAACCTTTTACTCTAATGTTGAGGTGTTTAATAAATGTGTTGTACAATAGTGTACTCTGAAGTTACATCTCTAAGGAATATGCAGTTTTGGTTTGTACCTTAGTACTAGATTCAGTGAGATTCTGAACACAGTTTTTATTCCAGACCTATCAGCTAGGTACAGTTGAAAATAATAGCCATCCTCAAAAACATTGGTTAGATATAAGGAAAGGTAAAATACCGGCCCTAGGCTACAGAGTTATTCCTTTTTCCCAGTCCAGCATGTACAATGATTGGACAGGATCCCAGCCAAATTCCCCTTGAGAGTTAAATCAGGAGGTCAGTTAACATATCCACTGACTCCATTCATAGGTACCAGGGAAATATAAATAAGCCATTTGGCATCAGGTGGTAGATAGATAGTAGGGATGTGTCAAGCTTCAGTAGCTGATTCGATTTGGAGGAGATTTGGCCTGATTCGACAGCCGAATCTCCAAATCCGAATTGAATTTGGAGACCCATTAAAAGGTCCAAATCAAATTGGAAGGCTCTGAATCAATTCGGAAAGATTCAGAGATTTGGAAGGCTTGCAGCAAAGCCTTATGCCTGCATGAGGGGCTATCATCCCTGCTATTTTCATCTCACTGTGGCAGAGTACCTTTGAGGGTGCTCGCCACTTGGGGGCTCCCACAGGCTCCAATGGGAGCCTGCTTTGGAACAGCAGCAGGGGAAACCCCCTAGGTACCATTTAAAGGGGGAAGGTGTGTGGTAGGCCACTGTTGGTACCTGCCACTTTAAGACCAAAGCTAAGCAGCCAGCAAGTGCTTGATTAGCGCAGCCATTTTAGATCTCTGGCTGCCTATATAAAGAGCTCAGTTCCTTGCTGGCTGGGAAGGCAGCAACATTGCCTGGCTTCAGGGCTTTTGGAACATCCTGGAGGTGAGGGAGGAGCTCTAGGGGATGGTTAGGAGGCTCCTAGTCCTGGGCATGACCTAAAACTGCACCTTTCCAGGAGTGGGTGGTCTGGTGGGTCTCTCGGTGGCGTGGGAGCCCTCAGGAAATGCCAGGCCATTTATCACCCCAGTGAAAGACTGGTAGGGGTGCCTTAACCCTAGCCCTCATCTTCAGGTGGGTTTTGTGTAACATTCGTAGTTGGGGGCCAGGCACAGCTGAGGCCACCTGAGCCTTGTGGGGTGCAAGACCCTGAGAGACCCCGAGGAGGGGGAGTGGGGGCCGGGCACAGCCGTGGCCACCTGAGCCCTGTGGGGTGCAAGACCCCGAGGTGGGAGAGTGGGGGCCAGGCATGGATGCAGCCACCTGAGCCCTGAAGGGGTGCGAGACCTGAAGAGGGAAAGTTGGGGCCAGGCACAGCTATGGCCACCTGAGCCCACCAGGAACCAAAACCCCATGGCCCCAAGTGAGGGGGTGGTCTGGAGCCCTGAGTGAGGGGGACAGAAATTAGGACCCCAGTGAGGGGGTAGCCTGAGTGAAGGAAGCTGAGATCTGTAGCCCCAAGCAAGGGGGCAGTGTGGAGCCCCGAGTGAAGGGGGAAGAGATGAGTAGCCCAGAGTGAAGGGGGCAGTGTGGAGTCCCAGTGATAGGGTAGCCCCAAGTGAGAGGTGGAGACGTGGGGCCCCAAATGAGGGGGGCGATGTGGAGCCCCAAGTAAGGGGAGCAGACCCAGGTAAGTCTTTGGACACCTGAGGCTGAGGTTTGGGCCAGAGGCCGAGTGAAGGGGGCTCAGCTCCAGAGTGAGAGAGGCAAGTCCTGACCCTGGAAAGTCCTCTACTGCGAGGAGACCAAGTGTGTGTTGAATATAAGATCTCAGGGTAGCACCATGACCTGCTGCTTCAGGGGGGAGTGAGAGTCCCCTGTGAGACTCTGGAGTAAAAGTAATAGTGTAAGGTACCGCAGCTCCCCACATCCAGGAAGGTGGACCCAGAGAGAGTGTGGGGCTAGTGAGACCGGAGGTAGAGTACCCCCTTGACTGGTCAGGGCTGTGGCCAGGACCAGAGAGGTCAAAAGGGCCAGGGCCCCACGCCAAGGGATGCCCAGAGCTGGGGGCCTGGGGTCCCGCCTGGCCTTGGAGGTGAGGCCAGGGCCTGTGTGGCCGAAGGTCCTGGGGGGACCATGCCCAAGAGTTGAATAGCTACAGGGAGCTCAGCAGCCTGAATGATGGCAGAGTAGGCCGCCTGAGTGGAGGGATCAAAGGAGGGTCCTGACAGGAGGATTCTGGAGCCCAGTGTGAGGCTGGTGTGACAAACATCTGGGTGCCATCTGTGAGGCATGGGCTGTGGGGGAGGGAAGG